GGGCCATTCGATGACCAAAAGTGTGAACGTACGACGTCTTCCCCACGGACGGCGCCAACTGTCGGTGCAGAAAGTGACCAACACGTAAATATTTGTAGTTTTGCCGTACGCTATGATCGGATGTGGCCTAGCTCTCAATGACACATGGTTTATACTAGTTCAGGCAACGTGCCCTACATCCAGTTTGAGTCGGTCGGTGACTTTATTCCGGAGCCCAGGTGCTCGAAGTTTGCCATGAGGTTACAAATGAGAGGAAGAAAGATGGGGGGTGCAAGAGGTCCGGTCGGACTCTGGTCTGAAGGGCCGAGAGCGACGGGAGCTCCTACGTGAGCTGAGTGTTTGAGCGTGTGCTCGAGCTTTGAACCCGGTAGTTCTGTTGTTGTGTGTTGAATTGATCTGCCTCTTTTGGGAGGAAGCGCATCCCCTTTTATAGATGAAGGGGACGACCTTACAAGTGAGAGAGAGAGAGTATGTATGCTGGTAAGCCTTGTTGCTCACGCCATTGGGTACAAGGTGATTGTAGGCTGCCACAATACTGTTGATGCCAGACGTATGGGAGGTTTTACCATGTTTTACCAGGTACGATAAATGCCGGCGCCCACAACACTATAGATGCCCAGATGCATGTGGGGGGGCCTTACCGTGTTCGCCTGGTATGGGAATTGATAGCGCCCACAACACTATAGGGTAAATGTCGGCGCCCTCAACACTGTTTGGGCTCTGACATGCCTAGAAGGTTGCAGGGTACCCTTCTGATCTATCCTGTTGGTACTGTCCTGCAGGTGTACAGAGTACGGTTCTTGGGGTTGTGGTTGACTTTGAGCGCCCTGTCTTACTTGGTCTGTCTGTTGCCTCAGTCCTTACCGAGCGGGCGTCCCCGGTCGGTTGGTTCCCTGTTGGCTCCGACTGCGCCAGTCGGAGAAGAGCTGCAAGCAGAGGTTCGGTGCATCAACGGTTTGAGATGCGGGCCGGAGTCGGAGGCGGCGTTGGCTAGGCCTTCCGGTCGGAGAGGCGGGCCGGAGTCATAAGCGAAGCCTTGCGGTCGAAGAGGCGGGCTGGAGTCGGAACCGAGGGCCGTTCCTCTTTGGCCAGGCCTTCCAGTCGGAGATCGGATCGCCCTTCTGGCCTGCCGTTAGGTTTTTGGGCCGGCCTAGGAGTGCGTGTCATTCGCAACGTCGTCTTCTGGGCCGAGCCTTTGCTGGGAAGCTGGTCCATGAGGGACCCTGGGTTTATGAACCCGACAGAAGACGTTTTGGTTTCTCTACATACATTGATTATTGAGTAGCTTTTAAAATATATAAAAAAGGTGAACATATTTTTTCTCGAATACGCAAAAGATTTGCGCATCATAGTTTCATACAATCAACGCAGTTCTGGTGAGCGTCGTAGGAGATCTAGAAGATTAGGGGCTGGACCGTCATATAAAGGGCGAACATATATAGATATGTACCATTTCCATCCTCGATTCACATAAACATCTGATAGTGTTTTTTCTGCCGTTGCAACGCACGGGTATATTTGCTAGTTGAGATAAGGGGAAATTGCATATTGGACATCCAAAGTGATGGTCATTTGTTGGCAGACACCCACTTTAGAGCATTTAGCCAGAAGACACTCTGGTTCATTGAAATTAGAGCACAGGACACCGCAGGCCGATTTTAGCTTGTTGAGGAGAGAGAAAATTTTGTTTTGGACATCCGGTGCCCCTTAGCCACACTTGGATATGCCCAACCTGGTCTGGTTGGACCACGTAAGAACCGTGTTGCGTCATGGAAGCAGGGGAACGAGCTGCGGAGCCCAGGCGGAGCCAGGAGACAAACACGTCTTCCGCAGCGGAACAGGAGGCGGCGCGGGCACGGGTGATGGCGCGGAGGCGAGCAGCTAGGAGGTGAGCAGCTGGGAGAGCGGTCTAGATACAGCGTAGATGGATCCTATTGGGAGCTCCGGGCGGCGCCAATCCAGTAGAGGAGAGAAAGGATGCGGGGAAGCCGGCTGGGACCGAAGACGGCGTCCTCGCCTGTGGCGTCGCCGCCTCTAGCTTCCTCACTCGTACGAGGTCTGGTCATTGTTGCCGTTGCCGTGGTGGAGGTTCACCTGCGCCAGCGTTGCGGCGCCCCGTGCCGCCGAGGCCGCCGCACTGGAGCCGCCCGTCGTAGTCTCCCGTGGCGCAGTGGAGCTGCACGGCGGCGCCCTGCGTGGCCCGTGCTGGGGCGCACGCCCCGTCGACCCCGACCGCGCGCTGTGGTTGGCCCGCGCCGTGATCCGACGCGCGCCGCTGCTCGTGCCGATCTTCGACCGCTGCTTCCTGCCCTGCCGCCCTTGCCTCAGGGGGAACCCGGTGTTCTTCATCATCGATGACCGCGTCCTCTTCTGTGGCCTGGACCTCCTCCACTTCTTCACCCGCGACGCCTACTTCCAGTCACTGGACCCGCGGGCGCTGCCGTCGTCGGTGGTGCCGCTGTCGTAGCAGCAGCACGCCGACGAGGTCGTCGCCGGCGCCGCCACGCCGTGCACGCGCCGCAGCGTCGACACGGCCTGCGGTGGCAAGGCGCCGCGCTGGATCGAGTTTTGGAGCGATGCGGCGTCCGACTGCTGCCGCTGTGACTCATCCTCCTCGGAGGCGTCCACCGCATCGTCGTGGTCCTCCGGCGGTCTAGGAACCCGCACTAGGTTGACAGCTACCTTGACCGGCTGGGCCATGTCTTGAGGCATGGCGGGTGGAGGGACACGGCGGTGACAGAGATGGTCGAGGTGGCGGCCTCCGAGGGGTGTTCGACGCCGGGTCGGGGACGGTTCTTATGGGCTGACCAAGTTGGGGGCGGACCCAAGTGTGGCTCAGGGGCACCGGATGTCTAAAACAAAATTTTCTCTCTCCTCAACCGGCTAAAACCGGCCCACAGTGTCCTGTGGCCTAATTTCAACGAACCAGAGTGTCTTCTGGCAAAATACTCCAAAGTGGATGTTCACTAGCAAATGACCATCACCTTGATGTCCAACAAACAATTTCCCCTTGAGATAAAGATTCAAACAATTTAGGCCTTGGCCTAACAAATCCACACGGAAGTGCGATCTAGGCAATCCAGCTTTGCAAGATCTAGGCAGTCCAGCTTTGCAATAATTGGGCCCAACAAATGTGCACTGTGGGCTCCCGTGAGGGAAAAAACATCTAAGGTTTGTTTGATGCATTTGTATCCACCTCAATCCACGTGTGTTGGAGTGACTTGGGATAGAAAATAGTTTAAATTCCACCTCAATCCACTCTAACACATGTGGATTGAGGTGGATACGAGTACATCCAAACCAGCCCTAACTTAGGGAAGGCGATGCCGCCTGCTGCGGGCCCATGAGTAGTCCTTCCTCCAAACGGCAAGAAGATTTAACTACGACGAGTTGGACTTGGAGTGCCTGCATAGTAGTAGGAGTTGCCTATATTTGTTCATAAAATATTTAAAAGGTAACTAAATATGTTGGCTGAATTTATATGTGTCAGTTTGTTTCATTGTCAAATATAATCTTGTGGCTGTGAGATTGCAAAATAGGAGTACTAGAGATGTGGGCATTAAACGCAAACTTCTAAACTTGCAGAGCATACTTGCAACAGAGATTGACTTACTTTGTTGGGGGTTTGGGTAATATGAAGATTTAATCTCATTTTCTTCTTTTCTTGATATTTTACCCATTCACAAATTGTATAGTGGACTAACGAGAGCCATATTTTATAATAACTAGATATATGCACGTGCTTTGCACGGAGGTCACGAGTTTTTGCCCACGTCTACGGTGACGCTGTGACTTGTGGCTTAGATGAATATATTGAGAAAATCCACAAATATAATTTTATAGAAAATATAAAGCCTGGTTCATGATCTTTATCTCATATGTCGTATAGATCTAATTTATAGAAACATAAAAAAATTGGTTTCAATTTTTTGAATTCTCGTTTGATTCTTGATCTTTATCACCTATATTTTGTATATCTACTTTATCAAAACCTATCAAAATTGGTTTTACTATATTTAATTCATGACAAGTACTATGACAAGGCGGATTCCTGCAAGTACTATGACAAGGCGGATTCCTAGAAGTACTATGACAAGGTGGCGACAAGTACTATGACAAGGCGGATTCCTACAAGTACTATGACAAGGCTGGCATCGATGAACCCTACCCTCTTGCAGTGCTATTGGTCTATGCAAGCATACCATGCATTTGCCCCCTCTGGATTTGGATTTATTTGTTCGGTGGCCAGGAGTACCATGACGCGAATTCCTATATATATATAGGCACACCTACTATGATGGGGGACGATCAATACGCTGGAGGAAATAAATGTTGTCGAGAAACCATCTTGCTGTGAACAAATGGACGGCCAAGGTGAACATGTTATTGTTGGTTGTTGCGTCGTTGAGTTTGAGCTTCTTGGGCATTCATGGTCATCTCGATAGTCTTGGTAAGCTCACCTACCTTGCTACTACAGATACTAGTTCTTGTGCTTCTTCAGTAGAAATAAATGATGTTGTGCAAAAGAATTGAAGCATTATCGCTAAGCGTGCGCTAAAAATCTGAAAACTGATGAATGCCAAAATATAAAGTGAACCCGCGATGCAACCAAAGTTTACATTATTTCCGTCATACGATGTTATTTCGGTTTTAAAATTGTATTAGTATCTTACTATTACTAATTAGAGGCTCCAACGAAGGCACCATGTTATTTCCCACCAGACATGCTAGGAAAAAAGATAAATAGTAGAAATTCTCATAATAAACAGAAACATCTGGCCGGGAAGAACACAGGTTTTATTTGTGAAAATATATTAATTATTGGACAAATTTAAAACGTGCGTACTAATTACGAAAATTGATTAAATTTGTCACGAGGAGGCTTCATCAGCATCGACTGCGGATATACGGACAGCCCGACTTACCAAGATAGCAAGACAGGCCTAAGTTACGTGGCCGACGAGGGCTTCACGGACGCGGGGCTCATCCACCCAGTGAACATGGGCAACCTGCAGCCGGATCTGGCGCTGCGCTACGCCAATGTCCGCTACTTCCCCAACGTCAACGGGGCCCGGAACTGCTACACGCTGCGGTCATTGAAGCCCGGCGGCAAGTACTACGTGAGGGCCGTCTTTGGCTACGGCAACTATGACAGGCTGAATAGCCCTCCTACCTTCGATCTCTACGTCGGGGCCAACTACTGGACAACGGTGCGCATCGTCAATGGCAGTAGGGCGTACGTGTTTGATACCATCGCTATGTTGTCGTCGTCCTCTGGCGCCGACTACTTGCAAGTTTGCCTGGTGAACAAAGGGTCAGGAAACCCTTTCATCTCAGGGCTTGACCTGAGACCGCTCCACCCCGAGCTCTACCCAGACTCCAGTGAGGCGCAGTCTCTGGTTTTGCTCAGCTTTTTCCGTGACGATACCGTCGGTTTTGGCTTCAATCGCTACCATTTTGGAATAGACTATCAACACTTCAGGTATACTAATATACTATATTATAAGTATATATAGAGAGAGCAAATTAGAACTTGTTTGGAACTGATCGAGTCCATTTCCAATTTTGTTTTTTACAAGGTACCCGGATGATCCTTACGACCGGATTTGGCAGAGGTACCAAAATGTTTCCACCTGGACAGTTCCCGGATCAGCCAGTGGAGTAGTAGTCAAGAACCCTCCCTACGACACCTACGATGTCCCATCCGCTGTGATGCTGAGCGCATCCACTCCGCTGAATGCTTCAGCGACAATGGAGATTGTGTGGAGCTCGGACTTGTCTATGGACGTTGACGCCGACACCAACCTCCTTCTTCTTCTCTACTTCGCCGAGGTCGAGGCCAATGCGTCACGGCAGTTCGACGTCCTTCTGGACAGTAATGTCACGCTAGCTGCGGCGTTCAGCCCATCATACTTGCTCACCACGGTTGTCAGGGGCACTGCGCGAGGACTGGGCCCTCATAGCATCTCGCTTGTGCCAACATCCAGCTCCAATCTTCCGCCTGTGATCAGCGCCATGGAGATATACTTGGTGCGGCCCCGGAATGAATCTGCCACCAGCTCTGCCGACGGTATGTAGTGTACACAAAAGCAATACGTTGTACTATCATATATACACACATGGGGCGTTCCTTATTTGACATGTATAACATAGCTACCCAAAAACCTGGACCAATTCACGGAACATAACTTCTAGTACAGCTATTTCTCATGCTTGGTGATTTAATCTTTTACATTCCATTTCTATCGTCTGTTATGTACTAGTGCCATATCTACGATTGCATGACCAGAGTTCAACTCAACTGTTGTATCATGCATGGAGTATTCGTTCATTTTGATCGAGGAGCGTGTGTTTTTCTCAGCCACTGCAGTGATGAGCGTGCAGAAAAAGTATTCTGTGAAGAAAAACTGGGAAGGAGATCCGTGTTCCCCCGCAGCATTTGCATGGGATGGCCTCAACTGCAGTTACAGTCCCCCTGGTCCCCAGAGAATAATTGCCTTGTGAGTTTCAAATGAACTCACTCATGTACATATTCCGTCCAAATTTTTGTAGAGTAGCACTACAATGTAATTAAATAGAAGAATGAAAATAAGTGTGGGGTTAAAGTTTATGTGATGATGATTAATAGCCAGTTTTCACCTTCCTGCAGATATTTGCCATCCAGCGGATTGATTGGTGAGATTGATCCTTCTTTTGGTCAGCTAACATTGCTCCAAAACTTGTACGTTCTTCACAATATAGTTTCAGAAATTTTCACATTTTAACAATTAATTAATATTTCATTGCATTGTCTTCGGGAAAAAAAAATTCACTGCATTGGTACTTACTGACTAAATAATAAATAGAAGGCCAATAATTGGCTTCAAGCCTTCAACATATATATATGCCAACGTATTACCCAAATCTTTTGTTTTTATATATTTTCCAATAGCTAAAGTGAAAGATAACAGATTAATACCTCGAAGGCTATGGAAAGCTTTGAGTCGTCGTGCCTACTTGTGTTGTGTTTTAAGCCATCAATTACTTTTAAGCACAACAAAATTATACAACGTATGATGTAAGCTTTGTCCTGTCCAATAATAACTTGGAAATGCTATTCTTGAGTTTTGTCGTCCTTGGGCTGCAGGTGAGCTTCTAAGAATTAACCATATCACTGATCTATAATTGCTTCAATTTTGCTTGCTGTTTCCAGGAATCTATCCCACAATAATCTCTCGGGGCCAATACCCGACTTCCTGGGTCGAGTGACATCCCTTATATTGCTGTAAGCCTTCCTGGACCTACATATTATATAAAATTATAAAGTTCAGAACCACCTTTAATGTTTTATATTTTTTAACTTCTTTTTAGAGATTTGTCAAGCAACAACCTCAGTGGATCAATTCCTAACAGTTTGCTACAAAAATCTCAGGAAGGATTGCTGACCCTAAGGTTCCCATATATATGGTCCCACTTCTAATTTCATGTTTGGAGTCAAACGATAGCTCATTAAAACATAATACTCCCTCTGTATTGCTTCAAATTAAATGTTGTCAACTGAGGTGGAGTGGTTTGGGGAGATACGCGCGAGGCCAGAGGTCGTGGGTTTGAGCGGCCGCGAAGCGCGCAAAATCGGGTAGCCTATGACTTGTGAAGGCGTTTGCGTGTGGCTGCCCGGTGGGGTCTTCCTGGATTAAAAATGTTTTTTGATATTTTTTGGCCCGAATTCGTGATTTCTAGATAACAATTTGTAGATACGGCTCGAGATACAACCGCCTCGATTTGTAGAGGCTGCTGGAGAATAGCCTCTACATATGGCTGATTTGTAAAGGCGGAAAACTAGTGGGGGCAAGGACAGCCACCTCTATAAAGACATCCCAACCGCCTCTATAGATTCTGTAGTAGTGATCATTAGAGACGTACTAGTTATGTCTGGCTCTAGGAACTACGTTCATATAATTGGTTGTCTTACACACAGAACCACATCTATTGCATGCATTTACTTAAGTTCTATTGTTTTTTAACATAACTGAACATTAAATATGTAAAGTTATTTTGGAAGAGAGACACGTCTCTCATATTGGATCAGCTGGTGAGCACATGCATATACTGAAATGTGCTGGCAATTTTATGTTGGCTAGGGTCGACAACAATCCGTACCTTTGTGTAAATGATACTTGTAACTCTAGTCCAAGCAAGAACAAACTAGCACAAGGACTTGGACTTGGACTTGGACTTGGAGTACCTGTGGTCATACTTGTAGCAGCAGTTGCCGTTTTCATCAGGTAACGAAATATGCTGGCTGAAATTCTTGTCAATTTGTTTCATCAAATCAAATAATTCTCTGACTCTGAGATTGCAAAGGGGACGATAGAGATGTAGGCGCTAAATGCAAATTTTAACTTGTAGGACCATATACATTTGCAACTAGTGTTGGGATTGTGGCAATGTGCAAAATTTAACTTTATTTTCATGCTTGCTTGACATATGCCCCCCTTCACACCGCCTAGTGGACCACCTAGAGCCATAGACTGTGTGGCATGGCAAACAAGTTGTTTCGTCCTTTTCATAGCACTACATACATATACAAACTGTACTACTAAACGATTACCAGCAGAGTAGTTCTCTTATTTGATGTAATCATGATTTTCAGCAAGATGCAAAATCATTCGAATTGCAATAAAATCATTGTACACTACATTTACAGCAGTTTTTAATACTCTACTTATCGACAACAGAGTTTATGGTTTAAATCATATCTTGATTAATAATTATGCAACTGGATTTTATAAATAAAATATGATTTGTTTTACTTTAGTTTTATAATTCAAATCTAAATTTGACTTAAATTATAATCTTTATAAAATATCTTATATATGATTTTATATAATTAAAACATACGAAGCTAATAGTTTTATATTTTCTCCTATGAGCAAATCTCTCGGTAGATGTATCTTTTTCACCGTAGCTCCGATTAGAGTGCTTTTTCGCGTCTGTGTGTTCGTAGCGAGACGTAGATTCATTTTACAAACTTTTCATCTTGATTTTGTGATTGGTGTACTATTCTAATTTAGACCTATTGTTTGCTTCGTGTATGATTGCATGGATGCTTGTGTGGTGCTTTATGATTTCGTCCAGTCGGTGAGATATACGTGGTGATCAAGAAGAAGAAGAACGTTGAAGATTAAAGCTTACCGAAGGATCGGTGTTTTAAGGCAAGTATAGCATGGGATCTTCCTTGTTGTCCTATACACCTTTAATCATTTAATTCATGCTGCATGTGTCTACCTTAACTGCCTCTAAGGATTTCCTAGTACTTTGTACCTTGTACCTTGACACCTTTGGGATTATTGCATTGGGTAGCTTTGCTAGTGCTCAAACTACAACCATGATCTTGTAACTTGACTAATGGTATATGCAATAAACATTAAAAGATGCTTTTTAGCAACATGGAACAAGGGGGCTAGAGCATTGGACTATTTTATAGTGCTCTAGATTCCTCTCCTTAAGGACTTAGTGATCATCCGGGACTTACAGTACAACTGTGAGGGCTATATGGCTCTGGCTTTAGCTCATTATGAGGACCTTTTCTAGCTTGTTAGTGGTTACCTTTATTGGCGTAAGAATGGCTTGCCGAATCGGGTATAGTGCGGCCTCTGTCCCCTTGTGTATAGGCTGCGCGTCATTGTGCCATCGGGAAGGAGGGCTCTACATCTGTTTGTCGAGTGAATCTAATGGCCCTAACTTGTTAGACGAACCTTTGAAAGGCTTCATAGTGAACCATGCCGACCTTCCTTGGTAGTGGGTCAAGAGGCTGATCACCTCGGGCGAAAGGGTAAATCACGACTCACAGTGAAAGGGTACAACCTCTGCATAGTGTAAAACTGGTATATCAGGCGTGCTCACAGTCACGAGCGGCCTTGGAACCCTTACGGAATAGATGATGAACACTAATATTACGGATGATAAAAATGCTCACTAATAATTGCTGTTTATGCTATTCATTATTCATGTTTACCTAATCATGTGTTTATATGGACATGTAAATAAACTTGTTGCCACCCCATTGCTAAAACCATGACTCATTAAAAGTTAATCGATTTGTTCGCATGCTATATCTTTTCTCGTTAGATTCATCGGCTCATTGCTTTATACTGATAACATCTATCTAGTTGATGATCTTATTTGCATCTATGGGTACTATACCTGTCAATATGAAATTAATCGCTACCCACGAGGTTTACAGTCCATAACAACCGATTTCTGTGCGTATCGGCTATTCAGTCGCTTTTCACGTCTGACTGCTCCCGAAGCGGCACACTTGAAACTGTCTGGGCATAGACCGGCATGTTCCCCCTTAAATTACTGATAAACTTTCTCTCCTTGTCAATTGCAGGGTCAAATCGACTGGCATGCCTCGGGAGGAATACGCAGGATCGACTAACCCAGCGTTGAAGCCAAGCGGATCTCCAGCTTCATCAAGCAGATCCTTCTGGCTTGCTCGTGTGCCAGCGCGACACACACATTTTCGTGCCGATAACTAGTATATTAGCTGTGCTCACAGTCACGAGCGACCTTGGAACCCTTATGGAATAGATGATGAATACTGATGATACTGATGATAAAGATGCTCACTAATGATTACTGTTTATGCTATTCATTATTTAGGTTTATCTGATCATGTGTTTATGTGGACTTGTGGATAAACTTGTTTCCATCCAATTGCTAAAAGATGACTCATTAAAAGCAAATCGCAGTTAAACCAGTGTCAACCTTTTGAGCCTCATGAACCCCATGTTATATTTATTGAGTATGGCATGTACTTAAGCTTTCTTTACTTTTTAAATCTTTGGAAAAATCCCAGATGGGTACCAGATTGCTAGAGTTTAGAGGAATTAGGCTTGTGATCAACCAGTCAGTTGTCCCTATGGATTTAGAGTCTTCACCTGAAGATCGGAGTTGTCTTTCCGCTGTCTACACTCTGAGGTTATATTTTTTATATACTAATACATTATGTATCTAAGCATTGTCTATTGATATTACCCTTATTTATAGCTATATGTGAGATTTGACTTCCTGAGCTCACATATGGTGTGTATCTGGTTTTGTTCTTAAAACCGGGTGCTACAGCAGGCCACCCACACCTCCGTCAACACCCAATCTTTGTCTTTGCAGTTGTAGGGCAGTTGACTAATTCTTTCTTTCTTTATTATCCCCTTCCATTTTGTTTGTTTGTTTTGATTAATTAATTTCCTTGTTTATTGTTTCTTCTTGTAAAATACTCTATTTAATTAAACTAGTATATTGCTATAGCACCTGGTTTTAAGAACAAAACCAAATACACACCATATGTGAGCCCTGGAAGTCAAATCTCACATATAGCTACAAATGAAGGTAATATCAAGAGACAATACTTAATACAAAACGTACTTAGTACAAAGATATAACCTCAGATACAAGCAGCGGATAGACAACTCCATTCTTCGGGCGAAAACTCCACTCCACATGGACAACGGACTGGTTGATCACAAGCCTAACTCCTCCAGACTCTAACAATCTAGTACCCATCCGGGATTTTATCCAAGTAATGAAAATAAAGCAAGCATAAGTACATGTCGTACTCAAGAAGATAACATGGGGTTATGAAGCTCAAAAGGCTGACACTGGTTTACTGCGTTTGCATTTTTAGTGAGTCATGGTTTTATCATTTAATAGCCTCAGGTTATGCTTAAGCCCCATATAAACCACATAATCAATTAATGAGAGCAATATTAACATCATATTATGGTCATAGGGTGAATACATATTCTGTCAGTTTTCCAGGCCGCTCATAACTGCGAGCACAGCTGTTATAACAGTTTTACACTCTGCAAAGGTGGTACATCTTTACCCGTGAGTCATGATTTGCCCTTTCGCCTGAGGTAGCTAGCCTCTTAACCCACTTCCAAGGAAGGTCGACATGGTTCATTATGAAGTCTTTCAAAGGTTCGTCTAACAAGATAGGGGTACTAGGTTTCCTCGGCAAGCAGATGTAGAGCTCCCCTTCCGAGAGGCACAATGACGCGCAGCCTATACACTAACGGACAGAGGCCACACTATACCCATCTCGGCAAGCCCCTCTTGCCCCATAAAGGTAACCTCTAACAAGTTAGAAAAGGTCCTCCTACTGAACTAAAGCCCGGACCATGTAGCCCTCACGGTTGTACTGTAAGTCCCATCTTTTGCTAACAGATAAGTCCTTAGGGAGGGCCAAGTGCATCAAGTATAAAAGCCAGGAGCTCCTTCGCCCTATATCCAAGTTGCTAAAAAGAAAATTTTAACCATTGTTCCATAAGCCATTAGTCATCATTCAGATCATGTTTAGTTAATTTGAGCACTAGCAAACTAACCATATGCAATCCTTCCCGCGGTGACAAGGTATCAATATAACAAAGTGCTAGGTAAATCCGTAGGGTGACAATTTTAGACACATGTAGCATGAATTATAATGATTACAAGGTGAATAGGACAACAAGGAGGATCCCATGCTATACTTGCCTTAAACTCAGATCCTTCTTCTATTGATTCGTAGCCTCCAAAGAACTGCTTCTTGATCACCATGTATCGCTCACCGACTGGACATAATCATATAGCACCACACAAGCATCTGAATAGACATGCATATACAAACAAAACTATGTTCGAAGAGTACACCAATCAATGAAATAGAAGTTGAAGAGTTTGAAACACGATTCTACGCATCACTATGATCACACAAACGCGAAAAGCACGCTAACCGGATCTAAAACGGAGAAGTTACGAATTAAATAAGATTTTGTGTAGAAAACTTAAGATTTTAATGCCAAATAATAGATCAATATTTTCAAAGGTGATAAACATGATTAACAAGTGTATTAACATGTAGATTACTTCGCTACGAATCTAACGCAACTCGAATGGATCGAATCGGAGTTAGAACATAGAAGATATGTTGAAACAGTGTTGGTGGCAATTTTATAAATATTCAGAACTTATTTTAGATTTAAAATAAAACAAAATTGTATTTTAAATCGAACCTGGGACGGCGGGTTTTAAAACAGAAAAGATCAGGGGCCTTTTGCAAAAGAGGAGTTGCTGACCGGAATTGACTGGTTGACCTCGGTCATCTCCCGATCTGAGCCGTTCATCTCGAGATCGACGGCCGGAAACAGAAGGGAGGGAAAAGGGTCACCGGCACAGTGCTCCTGGCGGCGAACGCCATGGCTGGGATCTCGGCTCCTCGCCGAAATGGCAACTCCAGGATCGGTTGC